AAGAGCAAGAAGAGGGCTTTCTAATGGTATGAATATCATCGCTTATAAGCAAAACTTTGAGAAAATTGCTGCATCAATGAGGCAACAAAAATCGGACAGAACTTTTGAAACGACCTAGTATTCAATAATACTGACATAATTCTCAGTAATTCAATGTAGTGTTGGAAAAAGGTCGTATATTCAAAGAAGATCCACAGGAGAAGCATTTGGATGAACAAGAATTTGTTGAATATCAGAGATTCAAAATGTATTGTAGCGCGCATCGACTCCGTAGGACGAAAAAATGTAATGACAAAATTAGTTGTTGTTCAGTATTCCTTTTCTAACCCTATAGGTTGAAAAAGTACGTAGTGCTGAAATAACATCATCATGGTGCCGCAGCGTGATGCGCAGCTCAGCTCCATCTTCCTAGTTCCATAGCAGCTTTGAGTTGCGATAGAGTATGCGATATCAAAGAACTAGCTCTAGGTAAGTGTTTGGCCATTCCCAAAATTCTTCTTGAATCGCTGGCAAGAAAGCGCGAGTTTGCGATCCGTCTGCACCCAGTGACTGTCCTAATATGTGTAGTGTAGAAAGCATGTTTTGCTTCCTGGACAAAACCACCAAGAGACAGTCGTCTGACTTACTTGTGCTTACATTACTTCAACTCTGTGAAGTGATCAAAAAAGAGATTACTTGACCTTTTCTACCCCGCATATAAAACGACTTTTGAAAAAGTTGATTTATATACCGAAGACTTATCCAAATTACGAACATAATAGGTTTTGGTCATAGTTGTGGACTTAATATAAAGACTTGGTACTTGTCCACGTAGCGGGAGAGCCACAAATTTCAGGTTGACTATTTGAAACAATTCGGGTACTTGCCAAGCAGTGGAGCCGAATCACAACTCACAAGCGATGCAGTCAGCGACGCCTTGAAACGATTCCAGCGAATGTTTGGCCTTCCTCAAACGGGTGAAATGGATGAGGCAACGAGCAAACTTATGTCGAAAAAACGCTGCGGGGTCAAAGACGTACAGCGAACGTAAGTATTACGGATGCTATCTTATGCCTGCAGTCGAAATGTACTATTCCAGCTTGCGAGTGAAGCGCTCCTTGCCTCATCCTAAATGGAAGTCAAACAAATTTACCTTTCTGTGAGTTTCTTGCTTCATTGTGCTAGTAGTAAGAAACGAATGCTAATTTGAATGCAGGATCTATAACTTCTTCTTGTGGCTCAAAAAAGATATTCAAACTACAATCACAACAAACTAACCCAAATCATGCAAATAAACCGCTTATCATGTTTCGACCTATAAAATTATGTAATTTCGATGCTGCGCGAAAAGTATAGAAATCAGTCATTTAGAAACCTTTTCAAATGATTTCCATCTTGTTGGCCGGAAACCATTTCTGCAGAACGATTGTTCTATATGACATCGGTGCTATACAAGATGTCTGTCTCTTACTGGGAGATGAGAGAAGCAACTTAACTCTGAATATTGGCCTTGGCGTAACGTTAGTACCCCATTGCATCGTTTGTAGGGAGGCCCTTTGTAATCACATTCTGAAGAGACTCAATTTTTGGAAGACTTGTCAACGGCTATGGTGCGCAAGTCCTCGGCCGTTTATGAGTAAGATTGAATCTGCGAGAGTTTTGCTTGTTAGTCACGCTGTCAACGCTTGCACCGAGATGCTGGTGTGGGTCTTTCTTAAAATCGTGAGACGAGTTTGATCACGGTCTTTGCGCACACAGGAGCGTATAACACCCATACAAACAGACATTACCTCGAGCTCACCCCAGACAATGTCGAGTGGAGATAGCAACGAAGAAGTGAAAGTTGCGTGCCGCGCGGTCGCGCCATCGTCAGGAT